CAGCTGGCCATGTGCAGGACTTCCAGGGTGGGGTGTGCAAGCAGTAAGCTCTGCTTTGGAAGACCTGAGAGCCACCATAGGCTCTGTGAGAAAAAGCTTTCTGATTTACAGGGTCCTGGCTTTTCTGGGGCCTGGAAACCAGTGTCACTGTGTCACCAGGGGAGCTGGAGAACGAGAGTGAGGATCTGGACTGTCCACCCTGAAGTGTAGATGAGGGGCTGTCTGGGTCCTGTGTGTGTGCATGTGACCAAGAAGAGTCACCAGGGTGCTCTGTTTGGGAGCTAAGCTGCGGCAGCTGCAGGGCCAGGATCCCAGGTGCACACAAGGTGAGCTGGTAGCACCAGAGCCAGGCTGTGATGGGGTTGGGGAGTGGGCCCCACCATGGGGCTGTGGCCTGGCCACACCCGGACTGAGGAGCCCACCCCCAGGCTCCTCACTGTCTGGTTGACAGCAGTGTGGTGACCACTAACAAGCCTGTGGCCAGTCTGTGCCCAAGACTGCCCCGCCCCAGGTCCCAGCCTGCTTGCATGTCTGTCTTCTTGATAGCACAGGGCAAGCACATGTCCCAAGTCTGACAGTTTGCTCCCAAAGATGGTGTTAGTCGTGGTGGGCTAAAATGCTGCAGCAAATGGGCCCTAAATGTGATGGCTGGAACCCAGGAGACATGTGTTGCTCTCTCACTGAACAGCCCAGGACAGAAGTTCTAGGCCAGGAGAACTTTTGCTCCACACCGTTCCTCTGGCATCCAAGCTGACCATAGCTCCGTGATCTTCAACAGAGGGATGTCACCAGCCTGGTCAGCGGGAAGGAGATAGGGGTCTGAGGGGAAGACTTTAGCGGCCAGGGCTGCCAGTGGAGGTCATCACTGCCCCCACATTCCTTGCCTAGAACGCAGGCATGAGCCGCTGCAAGGGTGGGGAGGGAGCTGGGGAACAGACCCTGCAGGCAGCCCTGTGCCCCCAAAGAGCTCTGGCTCTGCGGGGAACGGAAGGGCAGGCGCTCAGAGCCCCGGTGTGGAAAGGAGGCCTCCCCTGTCCTTGCCGTGGCCCAGGGATGAATGGAGGCCCAGTCCTGCCCTGGGTAAAGTAGGCGAGCCCCGGGCCTCCACCAAACCCGGCAGCCGCCACTCTGTGCCCCAGGCAGGCCAGGTTCCATGTGCTGCCCCACAACCCAGGAAGGATGGAAATCGAGTTCTAACCTTCCTGACGCAGGCATCTGTCCAGCTCCTCCCAGCTGGAAGTTCCAGCCCACAGTGAGCACCTGCTTTGCCGTGAGTCCGTGCCAGCTGCGGGGGTGGGCTCGGCTCCGCACAGGGAAGAGCAAGGGCCCCAGTCGGCAAGTGCAGGGATGGCAAGGCCCTGCTTGTCTGAAGGGAGCAGCTGCCATTAGCAACAGCTGCTTGACATCTGGCAGGAATTGGCACCTAGGGTGGTCAGGTCCTCTGATTGGTCTAGAGAAAGCAGAAATGCAGGGTGTGTGTGTGTATGTATGTGTGCATGCGTGACAGCGCGCGTGCGTGGCGTGGGGAAGACAGAGAGAGGGAGAACTATCCTGGCTTTTCAAATACTGACAGGAAGCTAAGTTCTGCTGGAGGCTACATCATGTCCCCAGGCCGCCCCTGCAATAGAACCACACCCAGGGACCGAATGATGTGATTGAGAAGGTGACGGCTAGGCTGGAGTGGAAGAGACTGGAGCCAGTTTGTGACGGGCGAGGCCTGTTCGCGGCGTCGAATGGGCCGGCCTCTCCGCTCCAGGACCCTGTCGCTGGTATCTCACTTAATTCTCACAAGAAGCCTCTGGGGTGAGTGTTGAGACTTTCTTTTTCCCATGCTGAAAAGGCTGAGGCTTAGAGAGGACAGGTCCCTGCACAACGTCACACAGCTCCTAAGCAGCAGCCCTGGGAGACCCTGCCCAGCCCTGGGGCTGACGGAGATGCAAGCCTCTTCAGGGAGGAAAGTGGGGCTCAGAGGGGGGCATGATTTGCTTCAAGTTACCCAAGAGGGAGGTACAGGTGGGCCCCAGCTCCAGCTCGTGGACCGCCAAGCTCATGTTCTTTCTTTCACCAGTTGCTCTTTGTCTCCCGGCCCCAGAGCTTTCCTACACCTTCCCGTGACTGCACGTGGAGCCGAATCGCCCGGATAGGGGCTGCTGGTAAGCGGAAGCTGGGGGGAAGGAGGGTCCCCTTTGTACCAAAAAGCTGTCGCGAAGTACAGTCGCCTGCCAATATATCTTCTTGCTAAGACTGAGCTTTGGTCCCCCCAGTTTCCATGGCCCATCCCACCTGCCTTGCATTTCTGGCAGGATGGAGAGACCCAAGCCAGGGAGAGCTCCCTGAGCTCATGGCTTCTGTGGTGACTAATGACACACGCAGCAGAAATGTAGGCTGGTGCACATCTGTCCCGTGTTGCCCGGGGAGATCTCTGCCTTGAAGCAGGGAGCTGACCTCAATGGCCTTAGGTTTCTCTTCCATGTGGGGATAGCACTGACTGGAGGACTTCAGAGCCACTGTTCTACACCCCCAAAGAAAATGGACTTTGAAGTGGAAGGACGGCCGTGTGCCTTTTTTTTTTTTTTAAGACAGGGTCTTTCTCCGTTGCCCAGGCTGGAGTGCAGTGGCTGGATCATAGCTACTGTAGCCTTGAATGCCTGGGCTCAAGCAATCCTCCCACCTTAGCCTCCTGAGTAGCTGGGACTATAGGCACGAACCACCACACCTGGCTAATTTTTTATTTTTGGTAGAGATGGGGTCATGCTATGTTGCCCAGGCTGGTCTCGAACTCCTGACCCTAAGCAATCTTTCTGCCTTGCTTCCCAATGTGCTGGGATTATAAGTGAGAGCCTCCCCGCCCAGCCTGCCTTTTCTTTCTTGCAAAGTAGGGGTCAGCGCCCCATTCTTCTGTCAACCTTTACTGAGCTCCACCTGTGGGGAAGGTTACTGGCAGCTTTGGACTCCCTGATCCCCGTCGTCCATCCCCCTTCCTCTCCCCGCCCTCTCCCTGCATTCAGACCGCTCTGGTTCTGCCGCAAGGATCCCATAAACTCACACCCAACAGCTCCCACAGCTTACAGGACACCCTTCCAAGGGTTATTTGCATTTCAAACGCCCTATGGTCACTTTACCCAAAGGAAGAACTCTCAGGCATCAGCAGCCATGGATTCCGGGACATTTTTAAGTTTTACCTACTTTCCTGTAGTGCCTGTCCTGACAGTCAGCTCCCTTGTCCAAATACTGATTATTGATCCTTAGTCATTTATCACTTGTTTTCCAAGCTTTTGAGTCCATTAGAAAACATCCCACCTCAAAAGCAACTCTGGATAAAATCTGGTCTTGCTTCCATTTCCAGGCCTTGGCATGTCCTTGCCATCGTCCATAGGGCTCCGATGGGCAGGGCCCTGGCAAAAGAGACGGCCTACACTTGGAGGGGCAGCTAGCCATGGGGAGAGCCTCCTGCGCCCCACGGCGGTGTCAGAGGGGGAGGGTCTAGGGCCCCGTTTCTGGGCCAGTGAGCCCTGCCACTGTCTGATACTCAGGCCATCTGTGGAGGACTTGGACCACGTTTCAAGCAAATAATGTTTATTAGGTCCCAGGTCAGCCCATAAAAGTTCTCAGAATCCAAAATGTGCTTGAAGCTTAAGACTGCCAGTTCTAGTTTTACAATACTTTGCTCACTCACTCATTTAATCAACAAATATTTACTAAGTGCCTATCAGGTACAGTGGTCCGCTAATTAGGTTGGGGGCGGGGTGACACAGCTGTACTTGAAGTGTTAGCTCACTCCACTCTATTGCCTGTTTTCTCTGCAAATAGGGATCCCTGAAGCTCAGTGAAGCTTGCAGGGGTGCAGCTGGGGCAGGGGTCCCACCAGCACTGCAGGCAGAAGCAGAGACAGCGAGCTTTGCTGGCTCTACTAAGTGCATCTTGTGCCAAATTAGAGTGCAGAATGTCGAAGCTGAGAAGCTCAGTGCTCTGTGGTACAGATGAGAGGGAGAAGGGCTTAACCGGGCCACCCGCAGGGTGGTGGCAGAGCTAGAAAAAGCAGGGCTGACTCTTCCTCGACTCCCTCGAGGGTGGCAGGAGTGGGGTGAAGGACTGCAGGAGGCTGTTCGGCTGGGGTCATTGGGTGAATTGGTGTCACCTAGCCCCTGGGAGCTACCTGTCTAAAGTAGCTCCAGAAACTTAAATTTGCTAATTAATTTATAATTCCAGCCCTAAGCCATAAAATCAAACCACACACTGAGCTGCCCACAGTTGCCTGACAGCTGGCCTGTCTGATCCTGGCTGTCTGCTCACAAATTGGTATTAGTGGCACCAAGAGCAGATTGACATGGTGACCAGGCACCCAGAAACTTGATGCCACCAGCTGGGCCCACTGCAGCTGTCAGTCTCCCTGGCCGCTAAGCCGCCCGGGCACTACATCTCCCAAGCTTGGGGTGCAGAGCAGTCCTGGGTCCAGCAAGGAGTGGGACCTCCCTCAGCCACCAAGTGATGCCACCGGTCCAGCACAAGATACAGGAGAAGGAAGCAGGACTAACCCCAGACTGTTGTCAGGAAGGCAACACTCAAAATTTCAGAGCTAGCACAGGGCTTGAAAGTGTGCAGGGCCTGCAGGCATTCATCCTCTGAGCCAAGGCCCACGTGGCATAACCAGAGAACTGGGCCCAAGAGGAAAGAGCTGTGCTAGGGTTACACAGCCCTGACTTCCTCCTCGCCAACCTAATGCCCCGCCTGTTTCTTCACATTGAGGACGCGCCCTTCCCACCCCACTTCCACTAATCTGAGTCTTTCTTTTGTGTATTTGTCCACCTCATCAACTGCCATCTCTTGAGCACCTGCAAGGTGCCAGACATTGTGCTAGGCACTGGGATGCAGGAAGCAATCATTATGGAAAAGACTGGAAAGATGAACAGAGCCTTTCACTGAGGTTAGCGCAATGTACATTAGTGAACAAAGGAGGGGTGGGCAGGAAAGGCATCTCAGAAGCCATGAGCCAGCCTTACCTTGCATTAGATGAGGTTGGAGAATACCACAGTAACCGTGGTATAAGAAAGGCATTTCTACCTCTTGTGAAATTTCGGAGCCAGTGTGGTCATTCTGATCTTCAAAAACCTCAGAGATCCATGATCCTTCCACCCACTACATCTCTGGTCCTCACAGGCCAAGACAGTGATTAAATCTCTAGCCACCACATCTGCACTCCAGGCAGCAGGATGAAAGGACAAAGAAGAAGACGGCAAATTAGCATTCACAAAAACATTTAGTGTCAATAACTGTGAAGGGTCTGAGATTTTACCCAACTTGAAAGCTAATTAGTTAGCCTGCCACTGTTTTATAGAGGCCGGCAGAAGATGCAAGAATCAGGGGTCAGAGACAAAGGACATTATTACTCAGTACAAACAGCAGCTTGTGCATCAGCATGTTGGCATCAGTTCCTCTTGCCTCAAGTCCCACGGAGGCAATGTGGATGGACCTAGATGGATGTTGCACAGGGAACAAGTTGCATTACCAGAGGGGGACCCTGAACTTAGGGAACCCAGATCTTTTATAATGGGAAGTAAGCATTCTTGCCCGTTAGTCCATAAGGAGACACTGGATCGTCCAAGGCTGTTTGCAATATAAACATCCTTGAAAAGATAGTTCAGAATAAAAGGCAGTCAGTGCCTTACTCTAAGACGTAGACATGCAAAAGACCTGTGGGAGTTATCTCCTAATACATAGCAGTTTTATTCATGATAGCCCCAAACTGGAAACAGCTCAGAGTCCATCAATAGAAGAAGGGATATATTGATGCAACAACCATCTTAATGGATATGAAGTGGTATCTCATTGGGGTTTTGATTTGCATTTCCACTAATTAATGATTAGCGATGTTGGGCATCTTGCATGTGCCTGTTGGCCATTTGTATATCTTCTTTGGAGAAATGTTTATTTAAGTCCTTTGTCAATTTTTTAATTGGGTTGTGTAGTAGTAGTTGTTGTAGTTAAGTTAATTAGAAGATTTTAACCAGGGTAGTAATTCAGATTTTTGTGTTAGGAAGATGACTGTGGCTCTCTCTTTGGAGCGTGAACTGGGTGCAAGAGCGAGAGTAGCATGATCGGGCAGGAGGCTGCTGCAATGCTCCAGAGATGATTGGTGGGAGCCTTGGAAGCAGAAAGGAAAGGATGGCAGGTGAGGCCTTAAGGAGCTGGAATGGGAAGGCTTAGTGAGTACATGGCAGGGACAGGGAGAGCTAGGAGGAAAATCAGGGTTGTCCAGGTAGCTTACTAGGGACCAAGTTCATCACCATGGAGTGGGTGTCCTGCAAAAGATTTGCAGACCTTCCCCTGGCAACCCCCATCCCCATGAATTTCTACAGAAGGTGACCAGCACCTTCAACTTTTGTAGGCTGTTTGGTGATTTTGTTAAAATATCTCACCCGCTTCTGAGCACTCCTTGTCCCCCACCACCCTCACCTCCATCATGTCCTCTTGTCTTCAGTATATGCCTGGGCTATCCAAATCTTCGATTTTGGGCTTTGTGCCTATCCTCACAGATTGACAACCTTCCAGAATTCTCTCTGGCTTTTGGACCACAGTTCCCTGGAATCTTGACTTTGCCTGCTGCCCAAGTCTGGGTCCTCTTGAGCAGTAGGTATAGATTACGGCGGATGTGCAGCTCATAGTATTGCATCCACTATGCTACCTGCCCCTGGCCATTGCCAATTAGCTCAGGGTGGGGCCACGTCGTGAACCAGCCTTCCCAATGCCCAGGCTGTCACCCGACCAAGAGAACCCAGCAACTCCAGTGAGCAGCTGGGGCTGCGGCTGGTGCCCGCAGTGCCCGTCCTGGCCACCTCCACTTGTCTCCTTCATTCTACACTGGCTCCCGCACACATACCACCCTCACTGGCCACCCCATGTTGCTGCCTCAACCTACTGCCTCTGCCTGGTGGGTTCGGTCACCTCTGCGTCTCTGCTCAAGTGTCACCTCCTTAGAGGGGCCAACCCCTCCCACCCTGAAGGTGCTCCATGTCTCCCACCAGGGCTGGGACTCTCCTGTCTTTGTTCACTGCGGAACCCCCAGAGTCTGGAGGAGTGCAGGTGCATAATGGGTACTCGGTTACATTTCCTGACGGCAGGAAGAATGAGAGAGTGAGGACCGTCACCACAGCCAGGCTGCCGGACTCTGCCTGCAGAGACCATGTTCCCCAGGATAAGGGAGCTGCCCAGTTAAATAGCAAAGGCCTGGGACTTACACCACAATGGTGAAGTGCCTGGTCAGGGCCAGGTGGCATCTTTACCTCACTGCCTCAGCTTCTTCATCTGTACAATGGGAACAACTGGACCTGACTCTTGGTGTAATTTCGAGGATTAAACACAGGCATGGAAGTAAGACTTTTGGCCTTCATGGAGGCTCAATAGCATAATTGTGGGTCATGAGCATGCAAGCGCCAATCTGAAGCACTCAGAGTGGTATTGTTCTCCAATTGCCTGATTTATGTAATATTAGAACTCTTATCACCAGCTAGGCAGGGTGGCCCAGAGAGGGTTAGTGTGTGGCCTGAAGGTGCACAGCCTCTGGGCTACAAGGTGGAAGAGTCCGCAGGCCTCCGGGTCCTATGATTCAAGAGCCTGGGTCCACCAGCCGAGGCCTCGGGTCAGGGGGGGCGCCGGCGACACCGCCAAGGGCGCGGCAGGCCCGCGGGGCGTCTTTGTGCGCTGCCTGATTTCCATTTCCCCAGATAAACACGCGGCGGGGCGCGACCTCGCTGCATTGCAAATGCCTCGGCTCCCCGCCCCGCGTGGGGCCCGCGAATGAGATGATTTACTCCTGTTTTGCATATTAATTGATCTAAATGCCACCCGTCCTGGGAACAATTAAGAGGCCCTCAGGCGCTCGGGCCGCAGGCTGGCGGCTGCGGCCAAGTGGCGGGCGCCCCCTCGGGGCCGCGGGCCGGGCCGGGGCGCGGGGTGCGCCGGGTTCGCTGGGGGCGCGCGGGCCCCCACCACGCCGGCCGCGGGCCTTGGGCACAAAGCGGCCTTTGTGCGGGCGCCCGGCGGCGTTTCCATGCAGACAAAGTCCCGGCGCCCTGCCTTCCCACCCTGCCGCAAGGGCGCGGGGCGCCAAGGGCCGGCGGGCCTTTATGTGCCTCCACTGCCCAGCCCCGAGAGGCCGGTCGTCGCTTTGATCCGCACTTTTCAGGTGAGGTGGCTGCCTCAGGGGCTAACAGGTGCAGTGTGTCTCCTGGCGGTCAAGGCCATGCCCTTTCCCTTGACCCTGGGGCACCTGGAGCCCCACGGGATGGGGGCGAGGCTGTGCGGGGACTCTGTGACTTTACCCAGGCCCGCCCTCCCACCTTCCCTGGGCCGCCGAGCTGGGAATGCCAGTGCTGCCAGCCCCGGCGCCGCCACCCTGCAGCACTGCGCCATCCACGTCTCTGGCACACCATGGAAAGGGGGGTGAAGGCAAGCCGGCCTCACTGGAACCGTTCCTCCAACACACACCTGCCTCCTGCCTTGCGCTGCCTCCACCTTAGGACACGGGCACCTCCCTGCGCCCCTGTGCTGGGGCTGGAAACCCCGCCACCCCCCTTGACTCTCCCCCTTGACACTTACGGAGGACACGCCCCTTCCCGCATCTCCAGGATGGGTTCCAGGATGGAGTCCTGTGGGTTCCAGAATCCCCAGTGACTTGTGTCTAGTTGCCATGCCTGCAGGCAGCCTTGCAGCGGGTAAATCGGGCCCAGTCACTGCACCGCCCCCCTCACCCCCAGCCCTTCCAAGTGTTCCCTGTGCGCTCAGGCATCTACTTGCCTTTCCCTGCCCCCAAAGGCCTCTGAGGCCCCATGGGAATCAGCGTCCTTGCTGTCCCTCGGGCTCTGCAAGCACGTTCCAGACTTCTTTTAGGAGAGCATATTTAAGAGGAAAGCTGAAGGACGGGGGGACCAGCAGCTGAAGAGTTAGGGGAACAGTGTCTCAGGCAGAGGCTGTGAGGACCCTGAATTGAAAAACGCCCCTGGCTGGTTCTAGGGTGGCCTCTGTGGCTTGATGTGCAAGGCCACGCAGTGTGAGAACAAAGGATCAGAGAGGGGCAGGGGCCAGCTTCCCCAGGTAAGGGAAGCTGGCCCCTGCATTTTAAGCAGGAGTGTGACTGGATCTGGCTTATGTGTTCATGAGCGTGGACCCATCTGTGTGGGCATCTTGGGGTGCTTCCTTAGCACCTCCTCCAGCAGCCCACCCTCGACACACACACACAGAGCCATCTGTCCCCAAGCCTGTGCATTCAAGTCCCAAATTCCCACTGGCCAAGCCTCTCCTTTCTTCTGTTCCCATTGCCATGACTTCTAACCTGGGGACCACAACAATCTAGGAATTGCCCCCTCCCTGCCACAGCTGCAGCCTCACTCCCCACCCCCAGCCCAGGGCTCTGGGCCCCCTGGCTCCCACTGCCCTTTGCCTGCCTGCTCACTGGGTCCTGTTAGCTCCCGAGGACCTCAAGCCCAAATGCTCCATCCTCAGGGCAAAGGGCAATGGGTCAGTTGACTGTTCCATTAAGAAAGGAAGGTCCTGTGCTGCCAGATTGTTATACATTTCAGGGAAAGCCCGAAATACAGATTTTGATGTGAATTTTCCCAGTTTTAAAATATTGGGTTGAAACCAAAAATGTTTTACCACTGTTAGAACCAAATAAATTACATGTAGCAAATCTAGACTAATGCTTGCTGATTGGCAGCCACTGTTATGGCACCTAGTACCGGACCTGACATCCGTCAGTCAGTTCATTGTTCAGTGAACGGTCCAAAGCCGGGGCCGCTGGTCCATTGCTGGGCCTGGAGCTAAAGCAGAGGCTTATGGATGATCGTTCCCATAGTCCTTGTTTTCTGGTACTTTAAGAATTTCATGATTTAATTTAAACCTTTGATTCATGTAGAATTTATTTTGGTACAACATGTGAAGTGAGGATCTAAATTAATTTATTTTACAGATGGATAGCCAATTGTTCCAATACCAAATATGGATAAATCCTGTTTTAAATGCCAACTCGATCATATGGTAACTTCCTATATATATTGAATGACTTCCAATAATTTCTAAATTATATGGCTATTCATGTATTTGTACCATAGTTTTAATTAAATTAGCTTTATAATGGATTTAAAATACATGTAAATAGCTGATAGGATTATCTCTGCTTTTTACATTTCTGTTTTCAAACTTTCCCTGGATATTTGTGCATGTGTATTTTTCCATATCGACTTTAGAATTATTTTGTCTAGTTCCACAAAAAACCCTGTTGGTGTTTTCATTGTGATTGTGTTGATGTATAGCTTAATTTAGAAAGAACTGGCATCCTTATAATGTTGAGTCCTTTGACCCAAGAATGTGGTATACGTTCACATTCCTATCTCTCCGTAGCATTTAAAAGGTTCTCTTCACATAGATTTTGCACATTTTTTAAACAGTTTATTTCTAGATTGCTTTTGCAAATGGGGTCTTTTATCCATTGTATTACTATTTTATTTCTGGTTGTTGCCTGTATATTTGAAGGCTATTGATAATAGAATTCTAATTTTGTATCCAGTTACCTTACTCAATTATTTTATCATTTTCAATACTTTTTGCAGTTGATTCTTGTGTGCTTTCCATGTAAACAATCAAAGAATCTTTAGTGATCAGTTACCTCCTCCTTTCCAATTCGCTACCTCTCTCCAGTTGCATCGGCTGGTACTCCCTAACAGTTGTGACGGTGGTGGCAACGTATCTTTGGGTTCAAGTATTCAAATGCCAATGTATGGAATTACTCATTTATAGTTAAACTTATTAAAAGTTTTTTTTCAGAATAAATATTGAATTTTTTTTTTTTTTTTTTTTTGAGACAGAGTCTCACTTTGTTGCCCAGGCTAGAGTGAGTGCCGTGACGTCAGCCTAGCTCACAGCAACCTCAAACTCCTGGGCTCAAGCGATCCTTCTGCCTCAGCCTCCCGAGTAGCTGGGACTACAGGCATGATGATAACCATGCTCGGCTGATTTTTCTTTCTATTTATAGTAGAGACGGGGTCTCGCTCTTGCTCAGGTTGGTTTCGAACTCCTGACCTCAAACGATCCGCCCGCCTCGGCCTCCCAGAGAGCTAGGATTACAGGCGTGAGCCACCGTGCCCGGCCTGAATTTTATTAAATAATTTTTCAGAACCCAAAGATAAAGGGAAGATCCTTGAAGCTTTCAGAGACTGAAAAAGTCACACAACGAGGATCAAGAAGCAGAACGGCTCTGGGCGGCTTAGCATCAACTCGGAACGCCACATGCCAGTAGAGAACTGCCTCCGAATCCTGAGGGGAGATGGTTTCCAACCCAGATTTGTACAGCCAGCCAAACTGTCAATCACTTATCCAAAAACTGAACTCCCATATGCAGTTTCCAAGGAAGCTACTGGCATATATACTACAACAAAATGAAGGGAGTAAACCAAGAAACAAGATGACTTAGTATCTAAGAAACAAGAAACCCACACAGGAGAGAGGTGAAGGGAATTCCCGGGATAATGGTGAGGAGAGATTTCAGGACTTCTAATGTAAGGACAGATAGGAGAGCACCTGGGCCAGGTAGAAGCAGGGAGACGGGGGCTCCAAGGAAAAACATAGAAGTGATAGGTCACTAGATGTGCTTAACTAATTGCTAGAAATTTTAGAACTCTGTTGGCATGTTTGTGGGAAGAATTAGTAATGTTATATCAAAAGCTAATTAAATAAACTGAGGTAATCACTCCAGGGAAAACAAAGTTGTACAAGACAGCAGCTGTAACCATAATATAGTCCTTTGCTTGGCTACGAATAATATACATGTAGATATGATTCTGGAAAAGTGGAGTGTTGATTTAGCAACTGTGACGGGACTATATTGGAAGGAAACGTGTGTGTTTGTGTGCAGTAGCTGATGGAGAACCAGCAGTCCTCCACAGGAGGAAGCCAATAAATAATATCTAAAAAAACACCCGTAAAGAATGATATTTAGAAATATAAAAGTAAATGTCAGAAGGAACAGCTAAAAGACTTGAAGTTGTTCCCTCTGAGGAGTGGCAAGACTGCTGCTTCCCGTTATCAGCCTCATGGTACCATTTGACTTGTTAAATCTGATACATAAAAATTTTTGATAAAAATAGAAATTGAATTTTAAAGTGTTCTTGCATGTATTACCTAAAGTCACCTTTTGTACCACTCCTCTTGCTCTTAGCAGAATGAGCTGAACAAAATTTAGACAGATCCAGGTGCCAGTCACAGCTCTGCAAATTACTAGCAGTGTGATGCTAAGACAGTTGCTTGGTCTCTCTGAGCCTCCATTGTTTTCACCTAGAAAGTAGGGATAACATTAGTACATACGTCATAGGGTTACTGAAAGGATTAAATGAGATCATGCCTGGGCCTGCCACATAGAAGCATCCAATAAAGGATGTGTGCATCATGGTGGCTATTGTTTTCATTTCACTTCATTCGATTCCTGAGTGATTAACCGTGGGCAACTTCTCCAAGCCTCATCTTTGAAATTGGCATAAAATATTTTAAGCCTCTGAGGAGATAAATGGGATAATGAGTGTGGAATAGCTGGCACCTAATCTCTGTAAAACTCAGATTTCTCATTTGTAAAATGGGAAAATCCTTTTAGGGTTCTGGGAGCATTAAATGAGATGACATAGTGAAAGACATAGCCTGGTACCAAGGACTCACTTATTTACTCAAAAAAAGCTAGCTATGCATAAGACTAAGAACTTTTCTTTTTGAAATCATATTAATAAAAGTAATATATGCTCACTGTAGAAAATTGGAGAGATCTAAAAAAGTATAAAAATAAAAGTTACCAGTCACTGCATGTTTCCTGATGATATTTTTTCTGTCTATTTCATATGCTTATATCAGTCAATACAGACCACGCTGCAGGGAAACCACACAGCAGTCTCAATGGCTTCACAGCGTAGAGGTTCATTTCTGCTCAGACCCAGCTCACAGGAGTTTGGGTGACTCCCAGGGGCGCTGTTCTCATATGGTGGCTCTGTGGCCCTGGGCGTCAGTACACACTTCCACTGCAGCTAGGGCCAGGGGACAGCAGGCAAGTGAGCACTGCCACCAGAAAGCAACGCATGCGACTTCCTTCACGCTTCTCTGGCCAGAGCACGTCACATACCCATCCACCTCTCAAGGTGAGGAAGTGAAACCTTCCAGGGCGCCTGCATGTAACCGGGAGTGGGACCCGGGCTCACAGGGGTGCATCTGCCCCACACATGGACAAAGCTGAAATCACGTCATGTCCGGTTTTGCACGCTGCTGTGGGCTCCTAGCATCACATCATGAAATATTGCTTGAAAACAAGTGGCATGGATAACACTGCAGAAAAGATTTTAAGTTGTGTGGTGACATTATTTCCCTCTTTCTTGTTCTCTCCGTCCTCTTATTCTTCTAACTTAGGGACCTGCGTGGAGGTGGCAGAGATCCAGGCCCAGCTCTTTGCATGTCATTGCTCGGAAACATCCCCCCTTCTCCTCCTGGCCGCCACAGGACGAGCGGGGCCTGTCATTCCTTCTGGGGAGAGCGCGTGCAGTTCCCTCCAGAAGTCACACGTCTGGAGGTGCGGCCGAGAGAACCTGCTGAACAACTGCCGGATTAGCAGCTCCACATGTGGGGTGTGGCTGCGCCAATCCGCTGGGGCCTCCTTGAGCACGCAGTCAGCGGTGGTGTTAACGCGCAGTGTTAAAAGTGACACCAAAGTGGTGCCGGCGCCACTGTCAGCTGTTGCAAGAGATGACACCCGGGCCTGCAGAGTTGGGTGAGAGCTCGGGAGCGACAGCCCCCCCTCGCCCAGGGTCTCAGGCTCCCAGGGACCAGTGGAAAGGGGTCCAGGAGGAAGTGAGCTTGGTGGGCCTCTCAAGAGGAGAATTTTGCACAAGGCATGCAAAGGATGGGAAACTGAGGCTGCGGGGACACTGAGGAGCAAGCAGAGGTCAGGAGGCTGAGTGCAGGCAGGGAAGGAGCACGGCGAATCAGGAAGGCCGCTGCGCGGAGAGCTGCTTAGCTCTGCTTCCTCCAGCAAACTGTTTCACTGGAGCTGCGCTGGTCCTGCAGAGAGAGCAGCTGTGCCTTTCATAAAGGAGATTATCGATGATTTCTGAGGTTTGTAATCCAGTTGTGAAAATGTTACTGACACACTTGGAACAATTCAAGAGGAATGTGAGGTGTACTCTTGTCTGGCGTCGGGCCGTGTGGGCAGATGGCCGGGGTTTTGGAGCACCCAGCAGGAGGGGGAGTTGGTGAGGGCAAGAACTGCTCGGGAGGGCCTGTCCTCAGCGGCTGGCTCCACAGAGGCCCCAGAGAGCAGGGGAGGACGGAGCAGACGTGGGGCAAAGAAGGCAGGCCGAGAGAAGGGGGATTATTTAATCCTCCAGCAGTGTGCGAACTGGGAGAAGCCGTCATTGTTGAGCCCATTTTGCAGGTGGAGAAACTGAGACTCAGAGGGCTAACCCCGCTTCCTCTGGGTACAGAGCTACAGCTGGGCTAAGACTGCCCAACCTGGTGTATTCTGCATAAAGACTTGCATGCTTTTTCCCTGGCAGGCTGTGGTGTAGCTGGAAGATCTGAGCCATGCCTGGCACCGAATGGGGGCTGGACCAAATTTCGATATAAAGTCAAACTTAAAGAGCATTCACTCCCTTGGGTGTGAAATGAAACAACTTGCCCCTTGCTTTACAGTTTACAGAACACTCTCCTGTTTATTACCTCATTTTCTCTTCACAACAACCTTGTGACAAACGCATTATTATTTCCATTTTGCAATTTGGGAAACTGAGGCTGGGAGAGAGAATGCACTGTGTCCTACGGCTCTTCGGGGACACGATGGAGCCCAGGTCGGCTGGTCTGCCTCAGGCCTTCTGTTACCTCCTACGTGGCCTCCAGAGCCGCCAGTCGTTCAGGACAGCCCAGATGTCAGCCCGCTGGCTTGCCGAGCCCCCTCTCCTCTTCGAACGGGGCTGCCCTCCACCAGCCCAGCCTGGAGCCCGCTGAACCAGGCGTGGATTTAGAGGGTGCCATCCGTTGGCTGGCCCGCAGCCAACCAGATACTTCTGCTAGATGTGGCACGTGGAGCTGGGGGGACTGAGGCATGATACGGGAGGGCTGTTGCCGGAAGTCTGCAGATTCCTGCTGCTAAGGTCCTCGCATCCGCCTTGGTTTCTCCCTCACCTCCCGCCCTCCATGTGCCTCCTTGAGGCCCTGGAACCTCTGAGCTCTGCGGTCCTAATCACTTCCCCTTCGCTATCCAAGGTCCGCAGGGTTTCCTGCTCCGTGGAAGTCAGATGCTCCAAGGCACCAAGGAAAGAAAAATCCAGGGAGCCTGTGTGCAGCTGCCGGCGCCCGGGGAGGCATCTTCTTCCCTTTGAGATGACACCTTTCCGGGGATCAGGATGCCTGCCTATTGCATATACACTCTCCAGCGTGCTGAGACCTCAGTGGACATTGCCACCACACCTGTGCTGCCTGCCCTGCACCTGGCCTCACAGCCACCGTGTCCCCAAATCCTTGCTGTTGTCACGAGCCCACAGGCTCAGTTCATGCATGTGAGACATGTTAGCCGGGTGCCTTTTGTAGGTCAGGCACGAGTCCACATTTCAAGTTTACTCCCAGCTCCTGACCCTGGTGTCTGTTTTCCTATTAGCCTTGCTGGTTGGCCATGGCGCAGGGCCTCGCTTGGGCTAGAGTGTTTGCTTCCTTCTTCACGTGGGATGCTCTGGACTGTTGCTCTGGCTTTGCTGTCCTCGGAGCTCTGGGTTGATTGCCACCAACACCGTCTAATTCCTGCCAAGGGGGGTTTCAGCCCATTCCTGTGTCGGGCTCCGGGTGTGCCCCAGCCCTACGAGCACAGCCTGGACTTCTGCTAGGCTGGGTCGTAGAAAACACGGCCAGGCAGGAGCATTAGCCGTGGCCGTGCCTGGAGATGCTGCTGGGACGGCCGGGCGCAGGGAGCCTGCGGCCCTCTCCACTGCTGCACTGCGGCCCTCTCCACTGCTGCAGATGTCACGGCCCCATTCCTAACCGCCTGCCCGTCTGTAGCCCGTCCCTCCTTCAAGCTCGCTCCTTTCCTTCACCACCAAATGACCTAAACAGTGGGGTCTCCAAGGCCAACTCATCTCCAACCCATTCCCTCAGCCATCCTGGGTCTGCCCAGCAAGTCATGCTCTCCCGCCCTCCCGTGTGCGGCCTCCTCCTCCCCATGGAGACCGGCTCTGCCCTCGCAGCCTCTGGGCCACCCCTGACTCTTCCCTGGCCCCACCACAACTTCGTCTCCCACCACACCTTCGTCTCCCTCAGGCTCAGGGAACATAAGCTGCCAGTGGCCACATGGCTGGGAAGCCGGGGAGCTGTGGGGCCGAGGGGACACTTGCCCTGGGCTGTCCCCTACACAGACTGTGGGACTCACCTCTCCAGGGCAGCCGGCCCCTGGCGTCACGCCAGGCCCTGCCCACCGCTCCAGCAGGACCCCCCACACCTTCCCGCAGCCCCTTCCTCCCGCGAGGCCACACTCTTGAAGATGCTTCTTTAATTTAAACCATGACGTCGTTTTTCACCTCCACACTTCTGTTGTTGTGAGTGGGGTTGCACATCTCGTTTCTTTGGAAGCCACTTGGGGTTCTTTTCTGTGAACAGCCTATTGCTATTTGCTCGTTTTCCCCTTGGGTTGTTGATTTTCCGCTGACTGTAGGAGTGCTTTAGCATTTAAGGAAACTCACCCTTTGCCATATGTGTTGCAAATATTTTTTCTAGTTTTTTTTTTATAATGGGATTTTAATATCATATGCAGTTGAATTTTCAATATTTATTTTCTGGCTTGACATTTAAAGTCAACCCAGCCGGCCACCTTCTGTGGTGCTCTTCTGGGCTTTTGGGGGTGTGAGGTCTCCCCTGGTCCTGCCCTGAGCTGTGCAGATGGATGTTGTCCATCCCCAGCTTTGCAGTGACTGGAAAGGCAGCCTTCCTCATAATGCTACCTTCAGCTTCCTCAAAAACAGGGTGAAGCCTACAGGTAGGTGAGCCTGTCCTGGGTCCCCAGTGAGGGTGCTGGAGACAGAGAGCAGGTAGCCCACGGCAGTCTACCTGCCCCGCCGTCCCTGGGGCACGGCAGCAGCCAGGCCTCAGGACATTACGCTGGGGGGTGGAGATGGGGTGAGTGGAAGGAATTCTGAGCGGTCTGGAGGCAGGAGAGGTCTGACTCCGCTCCCAGGAGAGTGGAGGGCTTCCGGGCCGGAGCAGCAGAGAGGATGAAAGTGTTGGAGAGGACCATGCCACGGAGGACAATCACAGTCTGCCTTGGCTGGGCAGGTTTCTGCCAGAGTGGGTGAGGGCTGGCGGGCACACCAGCCGTTGGCGGAGCAGCGCGGCCCCCACCGCAGCCCCCACCACAGCCCCCACCGCAGCGGAGGGTCCCTTGGGGTCCCTGGGGTCCCGGCTGCCTCCAAGGGGCGGGGTGGAGCTTGGCAGGTCTCGTGATGCCCTAATTAAGCCGCGGGTACATTTCCCAGTCCAACTGTCAACGGCACGCGGTGCGAGCCAAGAATGAATATTCCCAAAGCACCAACAGAAGGAAGTGCTTCATAAAACGGAGCCCGAGGGCGTGAAGGGAAAACAAGCCCTGTTCACACGCAGGCAGCAGCATCCGCTCGGCACAGCCCCTGAGGAGGCGGAAACGCGCGGTGACACCGCTGCTGGCGCCGCAAGCCCCCAGCCCCCTCCGCGCAGATGCGGAGCGCGGGAGCTCA